CCGTAAAAATAATGTACTAGGATGATTCTACACTCGACTTTGTATAGAAGATACGTTTGGAATGACTCTATGCCTGGCTTTGTCCAAAAAGAATATCAGAATAGATCTATGCTTGGTTTTATCCGAATGATATACTAGAATGAGTCTGCGCCCGACTTTGTCTAGAAGATACATTTGGAATGAGTCTACACCCGACTTTGTCCAAAAATAATATCAAAATATATCTACGTTTGATTTTATCTGAATGATATACTAGAATGAGTCTATGCCCGACTTTGTCTAGAATGATGTACTAGAAGATGTCTACGCCTGACTTTATCTAGAAGAGGTATTTGAAGGAGTCTATGCTTGAATTCTTTTCCAAAAAGAGTATCAGAAGGAAATCTACGCCTGACTTCATCTGAATGATGTACTAGAAGATGTCTAGGCTCAACTTCATCTAGTAGAGATATTTTTCAGAATGACTCTCTAGGAAAAGTGTTTAAGTATCCACTTGTCAGATTTAGTCTATGAGGGAAATGATTATCAAAATTCAACTTCTGAAGGAAATTGTTTGGCCATGTAGATAGTCGCCTCGTCCTGTTTCAGGAATTACTTTACGACCTGTTAGAAAATTGTCGATGATGTTTGTCTGTTTGTAAACATTACCTGAAAAGATAGAGTTAGTATTTATGCAATGTGATGATGTATGTAGTGAATTGCATAATGATGTTCTTAAAGAAAATGAGAGTGTTTTATATGTGTTCCGTATGCATATGCTATGATAAATGATGTAGGAATGTGAGATGTTGTTGAAGTGTATCAGTAGATTTGTATAAAAAAATTTATCAGGAAAATAAATCCCAGACTACTACTGGGGATGGCGACAATAATTCTTTAATCTTGTTTAGAATGTTTTACTGGGGACTCCTGCTTGTCAAGAACATTGGTCGTTCATCGCTATACTAGGGAGTTTAATTCTTATATACCATGACTGGGGATAAAAGAGATGGAAAACCTTTTGGGATGCTATCTGACTGAGTATAAGATTAACTGATATCTGGTCTGGTTTCAGATTTCGTATCAACTCTCTGGGGATAATGGTATGGACTACCCTTTGCTGGAGAGAGAAGTTTTGCCAGTGATTTGTAGCAGTCAAAGTGATAGACTTAAGCTTGAAAGAGTGTACCATGTTGGGGAAATAAACCATGTTGGGGAAATAAACCTTGTTGGAGAAACACTTTTTTGAGGGATAAGCCCTTTTGAGGGATATGCTCTGCTGGGGAATTTTACCATGTTGGAGAAATAAGTTCAGCTGGGGGAGAGAATTTATGTGAATTGTGTTGATGATATACCCTCTGATGAGTATTGGTACTCCATAGGTTAATGACATTGCTGGGGAAAAAATCATACTCCTTTGTCTGCTAGAGGATATGCTGATGAGTACGATCAGGATATTTCAGACTTGCGGAGAACGCGTCAAGTTTTGTAAAGATGACTCCGCGTGGGACAATCTTATGTGAACTGCTCTGTGGGGATTACAGACGACTTGAACATTGTCCCGTCTCCTGGAGCCTTAAGTAAATGCTTATTCTTATTTTTATGCATATATTTGTTAATAGTAATCATATTCATATGCATATGCTCATTCAATTTAGTGATTGGACGTCTTTGCAAACAAAATAAAAAAAGTTAAAACAAAATTTGAATTTTGAAATTATGTTTATATTGATAGTTTGCCTATAAATAGGCGATTGTTGTACAAGGAGACAAAAATCCTAGTAAGAGGAAGTTGTCGTGAAATGAAAGGAGTACAAAGTAAAATAAAACATATAACTATGTATTGATGATCTCGTCAGGTTTCAACTCTGATATTGCCCCTATGTCTTTGAGCATCTCACCCCTTGCTGTCGGAAGAAGTTGCTGAATCGATATGTACCCTTTGAACTTGCCATTGGTAATAAAGTTGGTTGTGAGTGATCCAACGGGACATAGTCGTACGCTTTAATCCCCAAGTTTTGCCCGGACCGCCCTTTAGGGTTTTTAGTCCACCGGGATACCCTTTTTTTTCCCAAGCCTCCTTTTCAGGTTTTCGACTTGTCAAGTGTACATTCTTATATATATATATATATATATATATATATATATATATATATATATATATATATATATATATATATATATATATATATATATATATATATATATATATATATATATATATATATATATATATATATATATATATATATATATATATATATATATATATATATATATATATATATATATATATATATATATATATATTTCCATGATTTTTACCCGAACCCTTTTGGTTCGCCAGGATGCCCTTATTTTTTCCTAGGTCATTCAACCTAGCGGGTCATCTTCATGCGTAGTATTTTTTAACCATGTCCATGTTTACAGATTATGGAAGATCTTCACCGTCCATGATGGTAAGTATCATTTTCCCTTAGGATCACCCTGTAGTAGGATGATGCACTTTATTACCAAGTCACCAGTCTGATATACCCGATGCTTGATTTTCATATTGAAGGCTTTGATCATACGCTTCATATATATCTAACTGTGACAAATATTCGCAAGCCTCTTCTCGTCAATAAAATTCAACTGATCCAGCCTAGACTGAATCCATTCGTCTTTGTCTAAATCTTCCTCTTTCATGATCCTCAGGGAAGGAATTTGAACTTCGACAAGTAGGACAACTTCTATACCATAAACTAGAGAGAACGGGGTTGCCCCGTTGATGTCTGAGATGAAGTGCGATAACTGTGAAGAAAAAATGGTAACATCTTATGCCAATATTTATATGTCACCGTCATCTTCTGTATAATCTTCTTAATGTTCTTATTGGCGGCTCCCACTGTGCCATTCATCTTCGATCGATACAGAGAAGAATTGTGATGCTTAATCTTGAATTGCGTGTAGAGTTTAGTGATCATAGTGTTGTTGAGATTAGTACCATTACTTGTGATAATCCTTTCGGGGGTTCCATACCGAAATATAAGGTTATGTTTAATAAATCAGTCAACAACGTTCTTAGTAACTGTTGTACCCCAATTTTTGACCTAAGATCCCATTTTTATTTTTTGCATTTTTAAGATAAGTCAAGGTCACGAAATACGGTCGGTTTTAACGTCTCACCTTCGAGCTTTGACTATACGAAGATTGTCAAGTGTTTTGAACATTTTTAGCATATGTATCACTAATTTCTAATCGCATACAAAGGTGTATGTTCATGTTTTCTTTTGTGTCATGTGCAGAGACAGGTCTGGATCAAGTGCGTCAAGTGTCACGCCTCAATTAAGGTTTTGAGTCTCCCAAGCTAGAAGTACGGTTGATTGTGGATTCTCGAAGACTGATTCATCAAGGCACAACTGTTGCACCCTAAATTTCGCCCCTAATATGTTTTAGTCGCACTTTCAGATCATATTTTGTTATTTGGTCACGATCATTAGTAAATATCTTCATTCATCACATTTTGCATCATTAGTCGTATTTAAGTTGACCAGAAAAGTCAGTTTAAATCAAAGTTTGCATCGTCTTTCAGTTGTAAAATACCTGGCGTTTCACATCATTCATTTTTACCTGTTTACTATTTTCTTGCATTGCTCCAAGTTGTTTATATGTCGATAATAAAAATATTTCGGTTTTATAGACAAACTTAAAAGCGGTTCGACACTGTGCGGAAAATTAGCGAGAAAAATATTTCAAGTTTTCACCTTTTACCGATCATTTTATGAATCTGCGTTTCGCGTAGATTATGACGGTATGCTCTCTTTATTTTTTCGGTACAGTTCGAAGTCTCATTTTTAACCTTAAACGTCTGTTTAGTCTGATATTTTTATTATTATTTTATTTTTGATTTTTGACTTCTTGAATATTTTTTCTTTAATCTTTGTGACATGTAGATTATTTTAATGTGTTCATTTTATTTTTTCGGATAAATTTTCGTCCGTTTTTTATCATTTTCGGTCGTTTTAGGTCTTTATTTTTTATTCATAAAATATTCAAAAAAATCATTTTAAATTGAGTTTTTTTTATATACTTTCAAGTTTTATTTTTATTTTTGTCATTAAAGGGCCTTTTAGTCACAAAAAATATTAAATATATTATGCTTGATTTTCATTGGCTACTGGATGAAATTGAGGATCGATACTATCACCACTTCAACCTCACTTTCTATTTCATTCACACACAACCTCACTCTGTTGTTCTTCATGGACAGACACATTCACACCAACACTTGTCTTCACTAACCTTCAACAACTCATTTCAGTAAAACCCAAATGCCTAAATGCCTCTTTCCGTCACCCAAATAGTCCACTCAATTTTCAATCTCGTATCACTCACCTTTTCTTCCCAACTCTTGTTTCTTCACTCAATCATTACAAATCATGGTTACTCGATTATCAACAAAATTCATGAACATCTGCATATCCTCAATGTGGAAATCAAACAAACTACCAAACACCCTTCACTCCATTTGGCTCTCACAAACCAGCAAACCCATTTTCCTCTTCATATTCCTCTTCGTCAATCTTCCGACCTTCTCACTCTTTCCGCTCCACCTACTGCACACACAAACACCACCACAACAGCAGCAACACACCGCATACTCTCTCCGCAACATGCTATCCACCATCAATTTTCTGCTTCTGCAATTTCCGGCGACAACATACAACTCCCTTCTTCTCTCCATTTCCGTAAAAAACCCCTCTCATCTCTCCTTCCGTCTTTTCTTCTACAACACAGAGCAACAACAACTTACCTTCGTTCAACACTTCAATTTTCCGTCCGGATCTTCCACACCGATTTCCATCGCATATTCCCACTGTACAGATCAACACCAGTTGGTTCAACCTCCCCTTCTCCGTTAACCCTTCAATCCCTCCATCAATCCACCGAACCTCCCAACCATCCTCACCGTAACCTCACCCATGTCTTTACCGTCGTCTTTCCCTTCGCTTGTGTCTCCTCGTACTTAGTTCGGCAACATGAACATTCTAGGGAATATATCTAATATGACTTCTATGCTGAATCAATCTTTCTCAAATGGAGTTCTGAATCACGGGCTCACGGGTCAAGGAAGTAGCCAACGTGGAGGGATTGAAAGTAGAGCTGAAGCAGGCCAATTTTCTAGTGTTGGCAATGGATCGAGCTTCACTACTTCTCCATCCTCATATGTACAAGCGAATATGGCGAATGCCGGTTCCTCTGGTCAAGTTCAGGGTCAACCATTTTCCAACCCTTCTAACAACCAACAAACAAACAGTTACGCTCTATACTTTTCAGTTTGAAGCTCACTTTTATTATTCTTCATCTCTCAAGTTCTTTGTTGCTGCAAATAGTGTGGTTTGTTTCTTGTCGGTGTCGTTACTGTTATTCAATCTTTTGAGGAGGAGGCAACAAACACATCAACTAAAAGACCACTACTTCTTCCTATTTTTGTTTGATTTGGTAATGACGGTGTTGTTGATAGCTGGATGTGCACCAGCCACATCCATTGGATTTGTGGGACAATATGGAGAAGACCATGTGGGTTGGACTCCAATTTATGACAATGTGAAAAAACTTCTGCAGAAACCATAACATTCCACTCTACGGTGACTATTATTTAATATTCTATTTTACTATTCTATTTTAGTTTTAGTTTTTTATTTAGAAGATTTTATTAAGTGTTATTTCAAGTAAATTGGGCTTGACATTTACTTTGGTCTCTAAGCCCAATTGTTATTTCTTATATACCCCATTTAAATTTTGCATTCATGTTTTGTTCTTTTTGTTTTTATTTTAATTTAGTATTTGATAAATATTAAAAATCTAAGTAGAATTTATTTGTAAATAAAATTCAATTTGTGATTTAATTTTCTTATTGTTTTATTTAATAGAAACTTTTGAGTTTTAGATTTAGTTGGAATTTTATCTTGTAAATAAATTTAAATTGTGTTGTCTATTTTATATCATTTCATTGTAATTTCAAATTTTGAGCTCGATTTAATTTTCGAATATATAATGAATGTATAAACTTCACTGACCAGTTTTTTATGGACTTTGATTCGACGCATTCCGGTCCCATAGCTTGATTCTTTATTTCACATGAGATGTTCATATTATTTCTCTGTTATCCTGTTTATCTGTTTGTTGGAGTTTTTCATGTGATGTAGGGAGTCTTATACCGCGAGCGTCATCCACGATTTCTTTTTTTCCGTGATTTATTTTCACGCGTTACACTTCTCGCTTGTGGTTCATTGCGCTTTATTCGCTGCTGGGAGTATTATCTTACATCTGGTTTTTTTTGACGCTGTCGGCTTGTGATTTATTTTCACCTAAGGTTTGGTACACTCTTAGTTTACTTATCTGTCTGTGGCTTTAACTCCAAGGAAAAGATTTAAATTTGTTGACTTCACATCATTAAATACATCTCATCCGATCGTGCGAATACCTTTTTTTTTTCATTTTTGTTCATTTACTATTTTGTTAAACCTAAGATAATTTTCCCAAAAAATTCAATTTTTAAACTCACACCTTTTAAGTCAAAACTTCGACATTAGGTCGATGTCTCTTCAAAATCTCTCCAACACCGATTTTTAGCCAAACGAACCATTCTAATCAAACAAACAATTTTAACCAAAAACAGATATTTCAAAAGGTTCCTGTGGAGTACCGCAGATGCATTGGGTGCTAATACCTTCCCATTGTATAACCAACCCCCGAATTCTCGATCTCTTTCAAAAACGCATTGTATTTTTATCACTTTTAAGTATTATTTTACATTGCATATTTTAGGGTTTTATTTCGCTCTTTTCCCTTTTCCCTTGGAAATAATAAAGCGCGGTGGTGACTCTTGCTTTTGTGAGTCAAGTTAATTAATAGCTCGATCTCCGATTTTCACCGCTACAGAATTGGCGACTCTGCTGGGGATAGGTTGACCTCTTGATGGTCCATCCCTAAGTGGGTTAAGCCTAATTTGTTTTATCTGTTTTATCATTATTTGATTGTTTGATTATATGTATATATTATGATTATTTGGGTGTTGATAATATTTACAAAGGACAAGTCCTATACCCGGACTAAGTTACACTTAGGAATAGGACGGGCGGTATAGTCATGTTAACTTTGAGGGAGTAATCCCGAAGAAGGAGGCATGAGATCCCCCACTCAGTGGAAGGCCCTTTTGAATGTAATATTTGTTTACCGAGTAATCGGGAAGACATTATTATTTTCGACCTGGGAGCCAGAGAAGCTGAGAACTGTAGAACCCTAACCCATCTTGGCCTTTTAGGTGTAGCGCGGAGATTATAACGGAGTAATCCGGAAGTAATTGTTACGCGATGCTACGCTTGGATGAGTTTCTCTTGAGAATATTGCTGATTATTGAGTAATCAAGACGTTGGTAATATCCGAAGGTGGAATGTAGACTCCGGGAACTCTTAGAACCTTGTTCTACAGGTGTGATTAAACCGTTAGTACATACCTTGGGGGTGTTCCTTACCTTGACTCCATGCTCGTGACGTTGAACCTTTCAACTTTATTTGTGACCTCACTTGTGGTTGTTGCATAGCCATGCATTCATGCATCCATAAAACCCTTTTCACTTGACTTTGAAGGAATTTGGAGGTCTTTCTTTGTAAACATCACAAGTTTCGTCAAGCTCAATGGATCTTGGGTGTTGATAGGGCGAAAACCCTAATCCACCAAAATGGATGATTGATCTTGATGATAACTTGATCAATGTTTGGAGCCAATTTAAAATTCATCTTCTATCTTCATACTTTGATGTTTACAACTTAATATCTTGAGTTCCTTGAAAATAAAATAAAAACTCTCTTTCGCATATCATGCATCATTCTACATTTTTTGTTTCACTTTCAAAGGTCTTTTTCCAAGTCTTATTTTTCCTTTGGTCTCACCAGTACAACACTCACGCTAAGAAAACAATGGAGAATATCAAGCAAGAGATTTCTAAACTCCGTAGAGAGATGACTATTTTGAAAGCTAGTATGGAGCACTTAACTGGTTTGGTTGAAATTCTGGTTGCCGCCCAAGTCAATCCTTCTAGAAGGGAGGAAGCGATGATAAAAGTCTTCACTGAAACTCTAAAATCCTTCTCTCATGAGAAGGTGATGGTTAATTCACCTATTGACTTTCCTTACAAGGTGAATGTGGGAGTGCCTCTAGAAGAAGATGTTGGGAAGGGATGTTCATATGAAGATGGTAGCCCAACTAATGGTGTGAAGAAGTTTGATAATAACTTTTCCAAGAAGAGAACCAGAGGAAGAAATAATCATCGTCAGAATCATCATGTTTCTCCTATTCATCAACAAAATCAGCAAGTTCCTAATCAGAGGAAAACCCAGTGTGATCCAATTCCAATTACCTATACAGAGTTGTTCCCTATCCTGATGCAGAGGAATTTGGTTCAGACCCGACCTCCATCGAAGGTTCCTGAGAAGATACATTGGTACTACAAAGCTGATTTGGCTTGTACCTTTCATCAAGGTGCTCCTGGGCATGACTTGGAGGGTTGCTTTGCTTTGAAGATTGAGGTTCAGAAGTTGGTCAGAAGTGGTATCTTGTCATTCAAGGACGTTGGTTTTGAATTTCAAATCAAGCATGTGCCGAAGAGTAAACACGATTGATGGTCACTTTGAGTTTTGAAGGAAGTTTTCGGTGATTCAAGTCCAGATGGAAAGCCTTCCCAGATTATTAACTTATTCCTGCTTTTTGTAATTTTTCTTGTTTATCAAAACACTGTTTGCATGTAAGAACTTGTTTTCATCTGAATGATTATCTTAATACAATGAGTATGTTTGTCTTGAAGAAATTCATTCGTTTCACTCATGTTTGTTTTTAAATTTTAAATTGCTTTTTGCACTATGATACCAAATTGTTGCACATTCTCTTGCCTAGGCAGAGATTGAAGGGAGGATGATGATCTAAAGAACACAAAATCTCTGGTTGCATGCTTTTGGATAAAATCTTGCTGATGATGTACAGGCATTGTTTCAAATCCCTAAACACCGGAGAAATAAGGAAGATAATCCCTTTCTAACCCCTTTTGAGCCTTTGAAGTAGAAGTTTCTTTTCTATACGAAAAAAACCTTGAATTTTAACCTGGGGCAGGGTAGTTTTTAGTTAATCTGACTGAGTGTTCAAAATTCATAAGGAAGATGTTTTTTGAAGAGAAACTACGAGGGCTATCCTTCATGTATAATGAATCTAGAGGATGTGGAACCACAATGTTATCCCTCATTCATCAAGAAACGAGGCAATCACAATCCTCTCAACAAGCAAAGACAAGCTAATGTCACACATTTTGTTCAAAAAGTCAAGAATCGAGAAAAAGAAAAAGCCTACTAAGTCAAAAAACATGAAAACGTGTGACTTAGGCAAAATTAAGGCATCCCGCTGGACTATCAATTCAAAAGAATTAGTTCAGGCAAAAGTTAGGGAAAATAAAAATTGCAAAGAAAGGACTGCAAAGAAAAGTCATCAACAAAGAACAAATTGGTGACTACAAACACGAAGACATGAGGGTGGTTTCTACTCCGTAAACCTCGTCATTTCCTTAATCGTCACAAAATACTTTTGAGAGATGAACGCTCATGTTGAATTAACTGAACATAGGATTGGAGAACATCATGAAGGGGGATGGGCATCAAATATTTTGAGCCTTAAAATCTTTTTTCTAAAACCATGAACCAGACCACATTACAACCTTCAAAAGTCCTAATTGAAGCAAGGTTATTTTGAAAGCACACTTCCATGAGATAGTGTTCCTGACTCCCATGAATGTTTGTTAAATAGTTATGTTGGTATCATATGATTTTTCTATACAAAAATAAATGGCGCTTTAACTCACAAAATTTGTGCGATATCTTTCAAAATCTTCAAGACTTACATAACTGTTGCATTAGAATTTTCATTCTCATTGTAAACTTTTTCTAACTGCGAAACATTTAATTGATATCAAGGAGGCTCACATAAGCATTGGTGATGAGTTTATTCTTTTAAGGCCTGAAACTATGTTGAGTAATTGGCGGATCACGTCAAGAAAAAAATCATATCCATGGGCATGTCACCTGAAGACCTTAAGCACGAACATGTTGCTTCCCCTAATTAATGCTTTCCCAACTTGTTTATTCGTTTGGGGCAAAAATTCGAAGACTTTGTTGTGCCGACTACAGTCAATCCGGGGCAATCACGTAGAGATTTGATGAATCTCTCTAAGAGTTTGAAGACACCAGAGCACGGTGGATGCCAGGCCTTTTGTAAAATACTCTTGAGACGATTTCTT